AGGTTCAGCAAAGTTAGTAGCCACTCGGTTCTGGGTTCCTAAAGTTGAGGTAGGGTAGATGGGGGTGTGAAGGCCTACTTGCCGCGGTTCTCGGCAGGAATGTCGCCGGCAAACTCTATGGTCCGGGGCCAGTCGAGAACCGTCGTCCACGTGGATACCGCGATCGCTCTAGGACCGGGACTCCTTTTGCCGGGAAGTTGGGCCCGCACAATTCAACTGTAAATCTCTCTCGCTCTCTTCCTCCTGTACAACGTACTGGCACGGCCAGGGCGCCACCAACGACCGGTTTATATTCTCATTTCACCGTGGTCAGGAAAGAAGACGTACTTGTTCATAAGCGCTTTTTCAGTAGCTTGAGAAGCCGTGGTAAACTGGTAGTTCAAATCAAATTAGTAGGCTCCTCTTTCCGTCTGTGATAACGTGGTAAGGACCACTTGCTTCTACCAGTCTAGGCAGTGTACTCAACTCTAGATGGCCGAGTGGTTAACGTAGATCACTGCAGTAGGGACCGGAAGGAGTAGAAAGCTGCAACTCCCACCTCCCACTACAACTACTTTTAGGGCACCCACCACTCATCTAAAAGCCTAAAGGAAAAGGTAGGGCTATGTCCCACAAAAGGGCCGGAACACAGAGCTGAACTAAATGTGGCCCCAAGCAGACGCACAGGATGCAGTAGGTCATTCGCGCACCACATTAACCTCCTTGGTTAAGTCAGACAGTGTCGGGTCAAGGTTCGCCGGTTCCGGGTTATATGAAATGAATCCAGAACCCGTAGAAGTAAGACCGGGACCGTGTTTCCGGCCTCTAACCCGCGGGAGAACATAACCTGCTACAGATTGGGGTTGCAGTGGAATCACTTGACCTGACCAGGGGCCCTGTCTGGTCAATCGTCACCGCTACAGAACGGGGAGGATGATGGTATGAACGGCAGTGACGGAGCACCGTCACAAGAACGCGCCGAGTTGAAGACGGCCGCGAGACGCCGCCGAAGGGTACTGGGTAATAAAAGTCCACCGGCAAGGCCTGAGGAGCTTTAACTTCTGACTTGTTTCACGCGTGGGAGCATTAGGAATGAACCGGGACTCGAGTCGTAGACAGGCTCGGGCGTCGGGACTGTAACTCAGACTGGTGAGGCCGACGCAGGCGACTACTGTACTCCCAAAAGCCCCGGAGTGATTAAGCACATTGGTCGTTGCGTGGCTCGGTTTATTGGCGGGAGATCATCCCGTCGCTCGGGGGTTCTGTTTGCGCGGGACGGAATTGGTGACGAGGCCGTCTCTGGTTTTCGATGACTGACTTCCCGTGAATGTCGGACGACCTTCACGGCGGGAGCAGAGCTGTACGACGGTACGGGAACTGTCACGACATCTTCATGTGTACAGCTCTCGTTTGCGTCCTCTGCAGAGAGAGGTAGACAGAGAGAGAGAGGAGGGAGCGGATCGCTGGGATCCTGTGACTGAGGGGAGGGGCGGGATTTGTTGAGCACTTAGCGTACAATTTGACTCTCGGGTTAAGAATAGAAAGCGTACAAGGAGGATGCGAAAAGCCTCAGTGATCCGTTCAAGTGAGAATTGAACTCTCGCCCGTTTTATCGCTATCGCCAAATGCTAATCATGGACAGCATCTCTAAGTACGGTGAGTAAAAGGAGAATGGAGTCGCATTGAAATTTCGTTCTGTTGACAATTTTGACGACTTCTGACCGAGAAAAGAGACTAGTGGCACGAGACTCTATGAACATCGTACATGGAGAATTATTAATACAAAATTAATCATATTCTACTAAAGTCGCAGGCACAGGGATTCTTGAAGTCAAGTATGGAATTTGAGGTTAAGGACTGAGATTATTTTGATTCAACGACAGCGTTTGGATGCTTTGTAGCTGCTTCCTTTAGGATTACTTTTTTCTGACCTCTGCAAGTGTTCAGAATATTTCTATAATATGACTTTGTGCAGGAAGGTAAGATTCAGCGAGATGATCTATCCTACTCATCTTTGTGTTATCTAAATGTCCTGCCTCGGCTTCGCCAACTTCTTATAACCATTGAGAGGGAAAAGAGTATCTGAAGATCAGGAGATCAAATCGATGGAATGCCACGTAAATATGAATGGAGGGAATGAAACTCACCCCACATCCTTCCTCCAAAGTTAATGGAATACATACACATCACATTTCGAGTTTCATAAAACGAATATTAGAACTTTCAACGCCCCGGGACTTCGCTAGAGATGAACTCATGATTGTTGATCGACCATGCAGAAAGGAGAGTACTATAATTAACAAGGGAACGGTACTCAAGTAGTGCTGTGAAAGCAACCATACAAAGTTTCGCTTATCTTGCAGTACTGCACGCGGTAAACACAACTTAAAAAAGAGTATGACCCGAAGAATGTGCTGGAAGGACAGACACGAAGGTTTTAGTTCTGAAGTCGAAATCCAGTACCCCCAGCACGAAAGCTTGGACAGCCACCGAAGATTTTCTTGGAGTCGTAGTGCGGGAGTTTGGATTTCCACACGCTTCAGTACAGAATCAGTTAGCCCGAGATGGAAGACCAAATATCACGCCGCCCTGATTGATTGTTGACTGATTGCTCAGAGTAGTCGCCTCCTCGGAGTCTCATGTTGCAGTGGCATAGCGAAGACGCGATTTGTATGTCCTTGAAATCGACATCGGGTTACGCTGGTGCGCGTCACCGTCGACAAAGTAACGAAGCTACCGGTAGTTACGAAAGTCGTTACCGCACTTATGAAGGCCGAAGTTATTGAAACGAGGTCCTTTCCCATGCACGGGCCTGTGGGCTCTCAGTCGCCGTCCGCAACGAGCGGAGGTCGCGAGATCGAATGCATGCGCGACGGTGGAGAGGTCACCGTTCGGTATCTCTTAAAGTCGCAACCTCCGCCGTTGAGACGTCTTCAATCCGCCGTCCGTCGGTAGAAGGTACAGTAGTGTTACCTGGAACCGGTTCTGTGCTGGTACCTGGATTTGTAGACGGAATGTGCCAGACGACGTGAGCGTGAACGACTGCTGATGGCCACTGGCGACGTGTGCCAGGTAGAAGTCCGACCATTGGAGGGGGCAGACTCCCGTCCGCTGTGGAATAGATGCAGTGAGATGGAGGGAAATTTGAAGAGCTTTATAGTATGTTTGACTCCCCTCTAACTGGAATCAGGTGCTTACTGGAAGACATCCAATGATTCCATTCCATTTTAGAAGAACCCTGTTAAAGTGCGGGAAAGCGGGTCCGACTGACTCCGACAGAAGACCGCTGTGGGAGAAAACGTGATCTCCTTGATACAACAAGGGCAGTGGTTCGAACCTGCTCCCAATCAGGAGTTCTTGAAGCGGGATCACCATACTATTGGGTCATGTCAGCCAATAGTATGGGTTCGAGTCCGAGGCCGAAGGAAGAGGGAACTTATAGTAACCACTACAAGAACAATTCTTTAGACGTCTCTTCACCAAACTTGACAATCCCTATATTTTTGAAAAATACTTATTTCAACCGTTTTTTTAAGACAAGGCCAATTTTATCCTCCTTTCTTAGGCATACATTCTCTGATGAAAACTGACGGAAAGTAGAGACGTAGAGAGAGATATTTTTGTATCACTCCCACCTGTTGCAAATCCGCCACCAGACTTTGCTGAGGTAATTCATAGTAATATCTATTTGCCTCAAACCATTTAGTTTGACATTTTATCTCGTTTCGAGTATTTAAATACCTCACACTTAACCCGTAGGCCAGAAATTTAAGGTTTTTTGTTGTCGATCATCTACGATTTTATGTTCTGCATTCTGAGAGGTTATATGGTTTATTATAGGGACATCTTCTTATTGATGTGATAAAATTAGGGTTCATATCAATTTGAGGGATCAAAATGTGAAGCTCTTTTTAAATAAATAAAGAGGTTGTGATCAACAATACAAAATTTTGATCTTATACGCTTCTTTTTTGAATTCCAATCAATTGCAAACACTTAAATGTAGAAAAATGAAGAGAGATTATGAGTGAAATATCTTGCACAAACTATCTCGTCTACAGAAATTTGCAAAGCAAACAACATTGGATTAACAACTCTCTAGCATAAGCTATGCTTATTATGGGAATAGAAGGGATGCTTGATCTCGGATTGAAGTTGACTACTGTTTGTCATATGTTTTAATAATTGCAAATAAATGTGTAAGCCTAAGAAGCATCAATTATCGCCATAAGTCAACATCGTGTCATGTTGAGATAAATTAAGACTGCTGCTAATTAGCGCCTGTGGTTTGGATGACAAGATATTTGGCAATAATCTACTTTGTATACTTCGTTTAAAAACAGTTATTTTTGTTATCAGTTACTTTTGGTTATCAGTGTATATGGTTAGCATGAACTATGCAAATTTGGTGTTAATATGCCTCTCACAAAAACTTGATTCTTGGATGTTAGGGAGTATGTCACTATCCACCTATGGTACTCACCTGTCTCAAATCCATTGCAAAATGTTTTGTTTGGAACACTCAAGTTGGTATCTTGTGCTACATAGTGGTCATAATTGAAGATTGCGTATGTGCTAACATACATCGAGAATAGAAGGAAATGGAATGGAGAGGAAGAGACAATAATCAGAACACATCTTCCAATCGAAACAAATAGAGGGTAGATATTGGACCAGGTAATGTGTAGCGGTGTAGCGTCAAGTATTATAGCAACTGTGATCAATTTACGCATATAGGAATCAGTTTTTAGCCAACATTTGTTGCGGTGATGTTTGGTTAGAGAAGTGGCTTTGTTGGCAAGAAAGTAGATTTGTGTATGTGCATTGTGACAAATAAAGCAACTGAGAGGAAACAGCGAGTTACAACTTTAGCGAATGTTATAGTTTGAGTGCCAAGTGATCTCGAAATACAATTGGAGCACGGTGAAGGAAGCTGCGCCAGGGACGGTGCGTGGACGGCGGAAGGAGGATTCCTGTGAGTGGAAGGTGACGACGGGGTTGATGAGCGGGGGGTCAGAAAGAAGCTCGTGCGGCCGATGTTGCATGTGCGACTCTTCTCTCATGGACCCAGGCTGATGAGAGCAGCAGCAGCAGACCAACAAGCTTCAACGAAGAGCTAAAGAGCTTCGGCCCAGCCTCATCCCGGGCAGCCAGGCAGCCAGCCGACTAGAGTGACTGGACTGCCGCAGCCCTAGTACGATAGTGCATTCCACGCCGGACACCGCTCTTTTCTCACTCTGTAGCTCACTTCCCCTTCATCTCTCTCCTGCGCCTGCTGATTCACCAGCACCGTAACTCGCTCTGCGCTGCTCAGATCAGATCAGCTCTGCTCTGCTTTATGGAATCAGTCGCGATTCCGGATATGTGATGATGATAGCTTCAGACGCATTTGCGTACAAGAGGGCGCAGCGCACTATCTGCGGAGTTGAACACGCAGAGTGAATGTCGTCGAGAGGCTGCGGAGAGTGAGTGAGTGACCAGAGTAGCCGACTCGTAAAGTCGTCGACCGGAGGCGGAGGCCGGATATATTGACGGCTTTCACCCTCTCCTTCTTACCCTCTTTGTCCCGTCGGGGTCGATCGCGGGGTTTATTTGCCCGCTGCGCGCCCCACCCCATGTTCTCTCGCCCTGCCACAGAGAAGGCCCTTCCTCGCACGAGGACAGAAGAGCTCCGGTGCTGTCCGGGGAGCAAGTGCCAGCTTGTGCGGATTGGAGCGACAAGATAGCGCGGATTGCACTTACGGCAGTTGAAGTAGAAAGAGCCGAGATCTTGCGAATGTTTCAGCTGTCAAGTGTTGTGTCGAGCAGCAGATCCTTGTTCACTGAGAGGTGTAGAGTCCAGTAGAAGATCGAGTGTGCGCAGCACTTCGTGCGGAGGTCGACATCGATGTGAGTGAGTGAGGGAGTGGTGTAAGCGAGCGCCACACAGCAGTGCAGGAGCAGGACTGCTCGACGTGACCGACCGCGAGTAGAATGCTGCAATTCTAGAGAATCCACGACGTAGACATGGGGAATCCTTTGCCAAGGACGCAGTCTTTGGGACAGACACGAGCGAAAGGGAATAGCGGGCCGAAATGGGATTCCTTCAACAAAACCAACAGGCCGCACTCGCTGTTCAGCAACCGGCACATGACGAGCACCGAGAAGGTGAGGTCGTTCATGAGCGGGGAGCTCACCAGCACGGGACGTCCCAGAGCGTTTCTGAGCGGCGAGCTGCCGCTGGTCCGACCTGTGACAGCGACGTCGCTGCCATCGATGCGAGATGCCGCCACCAACACGGACCTCAACGACGCGGCCACCAACACCGATGATTGTGTCTCCATCTCCGGGGACGACGGCAGATCGGCCCGAGGAGACGTGCAGGACAAGCGGGAGGATCGCCCCGTGGAGAGAAGGGAATTGCTGTCGAGGAAGAACAGGGACAATGACGCCTCGACGGCGAGAGCAGCAGATGCTTCGAGCGAGGGAGGAGGAGGCCGAGGCAGCAGTGGGTTGAGACGCAGCGCCAGTGTCGGGGTGTCGACAACGACGTCTATTCAGACCGAGAAGGAGGGCAGTCACAGTCGGCTGCTGAGCAGGGGCGGAGAGTCGTCGAGCTTCCGCGGACGGCATTCGTCGTCGTCACGGCGCGAGGTGTCCGGGTCCTTCAGGAAAGACACCGTCTCGAGTTCTTTTAGAAAGGAGGTTGTGCAAAGCAGTAGAAGAAAATCCACGAAGTCTTTTCAAGATGGCGAGGTCTCCAGCATCGCCAGCGAGAGCGCTCGAGGCAGTCCGTGTAGCATCCATTACAACCAGGGGCCTTTCTCCGCGAAGACGACCCCGCAGCCTCTGAACAGCTCTTGGATTTCTGAGACCCCATCGTCCCCGGAAGGTTTCTACTCCTCCGTCCCATTCCACTGGGAGGAGGCACCGGGCAAAGCTAAAACCATTGCAGCGGCCGCAGAGATGGCCTTGGCTCGAAAGCTCTCGAGGGATGAATCGCTTCGCAAGCTCAGCGCGGCCTCCCCCGGAAGCAGTGTCGATTGTTCGGTTCAAGGTGAGAGGAAGGGTCTGACCAGGCATTCGTCTCTCGAGCCTCCGATTTCTTGCGCGTCACCGGCGTTGCCTCTGCCCCCATCGAAGAGGGAGTTCTCTCGCGAGCTTCCTGCGCCCGTGAAGAAGGACCCGCATGCGTCGCAGCTGATCGAAGAACTGAAAGCTGCCGTCGTGCGGAAGCAGGCTGAGGACCTGATGACGAGGGAGAGAGCCGTGGAGAGGGAGGACGACAACAAGAGCGTCATCTCCGACTTCGGTCCGGCCGAAGAAGCTCACATCGATTTGGTTGCCCCGTCTGCGGCCAAGTTTCTGACGCAGGAGGACGATTTGCCAGTTCTCACTCCAATCAAGACTCCTGCCGCGGTTCCATTCAAATGGGAAGAAGCTCCGGGTAAGCCCAAGGGTGGTTCCTCGCCTCCTCCCGAACCCGAGCCTCCACTGCTAACTCTTCCCCCGCGTCTCCTGGGAGGATGTCGAAATCTCTCGAAAGAAGCCCAAGCCAAAATTTTGCAGACCTATTCGTGCAATCTGAGCGAAATGCACTGGACCGCCAGCGGAAATCCCACTCCTCTTTCTCGGTCCCGGGACCACACTCCCACTCGGAGGGACAGGACTCCGACGAGGAGGGATCGAACGCCAACCAGGAGGGACACAACTCCAACAAGAAGGGACATCACTCCAAGCAGAAGGGATTCCACTCCGACCCGGAGTTACTTCAACAATGTCAGATTGGTTCCCAAGAGTGGACCCATGTCTTTCCCTCCTGCCATTCCCGTCATCGACAACGTCCGTGACTACCACAGCGGACCTCTGCGACCCAACACCGTCGGCCCCAATTATTTGAACGCACCTCCGAGGAGTATTTCGCAGGAGTTCGCCCTCCCCATCGTCGTGCCACCGAGAACTGCATCGCAGGAGTTCCACCTTCCGAAGAACCCAACACAGGACAACGCCATCAACGTCCTAACTCAGGAGCTCTCTTTGTCTGGACCTTCATCGGAGGAATCTGGGCGCCGGGGCTACGCGAGCAAGAAGGCCTCACGAGAGTTTCCTCTACCTCCTCGACACGAGTCTCCTGCCCAGGGATCTCAGCACGACTCGAATGTGGCCGAGTCTTCCAACGGCAAGAGCTCGAACGACGGCCAGTCAGCAGCAGCTTCTTCATCGGCCAAGCCCCCGGCTGGAGCAGTGGATCAGTGGTCTCCTACGAGCATATTGTGCGGCCCCGATTTGTCAGTGGACACCAACCGGTCGAATTCAAACCTCTCGGCCTACGCGGAATCCTCGCATTCTCAGCGACAGTCGGTAACGAGTCACACCAAGTCCAATAGTTGCAGCTCTGAAGAGTCTTTTGTGGACGAAATCTACGATCAACAACCATGGAGCGGCAGTATTACGCCTATCGCCTCACCTTATCGCGACCTCGGTCCCATCGACAATCCTCCCGAAAGCACGCAAGGGAACAAAGCCTTGGAGGAGGGGGTGAAGGCTCTCGTCAAATTTTGCCGGAAAGCCAAGAAGTGGAATAAATCGAAGACTCCCACGCGCAAGAATTCTCAAGAGCCCGACATGTGGGCACCCACATTGGCTACCTACTTTCAAAAGCTCGAGCTCGGTGGCGCCATCATCAGCAAGGTGGGCTCGCAGGTCTTTCCCGACGACAGGAGCCTGAGGAGCATCTACGCCTCGGGAGAGGCCAGTGTCGCCCGCTCGCCCGCCAAGTTCATCCCCAGGTCCGGAGAGTTGGGAACACCCGATCGTCTGGCATTGAGACGAGCCCTCGGTGGCCAAACGCCGATTCAGACCATTGCAACCTGCCGTTCTCCCACTTACAGAGTGCTGGCCACCGACGAGTGCTTCTCGCTGTTCTCCGTGCACCGAGTCTGGAACTCCACCAAGGCCAGACACGCCAAGTGGGGCAAGAAAATGAGGCGGAGTTCTCGCGTCATGGTGCGTTTATTTTCACGTGCTCTCGAATTCTTAGTTCGTTTTGTTCTTGTCTTTCGAGGCCAATTTTTAGCGCGTCTTTGCTGGAGCAGCGATCTGACAGTTGTTGGACTATTTGTTCCAGGTTTCGGTATGCGCAGCCCTGAAGAGGTCTTTGATGCTGAAATGTGGGAGGCACAATCTCCCCACTCTGCCCTCGGAGTCCAAGCTTTTGAGTCGTGAAGATCTTGAGCAAAAGGAGAACGCCGTCCACGCACTTTCTGCCAGTCACCAGTTCCACAGGGTACGTTCAGCTGCGGTCTTTGGAAATTTTACTCTTAGTTTCAGTCTGTCCTGAGTTCGTGTTCGGGTTAATGTTTCCTCGACGTAGGTCATATTTTGCGCGTGAATATCATTCGTCCGTGCTTGAATTCTTGACGTTATCAGGTGCTGACTTTGTTTTGAATGTTGCTATATTATTGCAGCCTCTTTGAGGAGTTGGCGTTTTTTCGAGGGACTCAATTCCTGGACATAGCACTCGCTCAACTCTCGAGTCACTGATCTCTTTGTAAAGTATAGTCGGCTCTCGATGACGCCGAGCAGGCGAAGCTGGAGGCGAGGCCTCGAGCGCTTGCCACGACAGCGCGCGGAGCTGCTTTTAAACGTGAATGAAGCTCACTTTCAAGCAAGCAAGCCCCAGCGTGAGCGCGTTCAGGTGCATCGAGCACGACCGTCGGGCTTCTGTTGCAGAGTTTGATTTTTGTACAATACGCAACCGCAGCAGAAGTACCCATCTTACTATAAACAACGACACGAAGTTCACCGCCCCGCCCCGCGTCAGCCAGCAAATTGTGCAGACGAAAGAGAGGCGTATCTGTAAGTTCTGTTCGGTAAATATCACCGTGGGAGGCCCGCATGACAGCGAGGAACTCATGCAATTTTAAGTCTTCCACTTCCGGGCAATTTCTCCGACCATTACAGCAACAAGGCCGAGCAGAAATTAGCTCATCCAACAGCTTGATACTGCAAATTAAGTTTTCCGAGTACTATGTTTTCCGATAAATCCCTACCTCGATCAACTTCAACTTCAATTTTACTGAGTATGTTTTGGCGATCAGAGATGTAAGCTCGTCCACTCTACAGTAGATCTTGGGTGCAAAGTACTATGCCTGGAGCTACCTCCAGCTTTCTTTATCAGTTCATTTCTGTACGCATACCAAGGTCGTAGCAAATGCCTTTGATGTCTGGAGACGAATCAGTCTGAACGTCGGACTGCTATTCATTACAATGGCTAGATCTATCGCTCCAATTTACTTTGTTTCTTTAGTCTCCTCTTGTGGAGCGTCATCAACTACTAGCGTTTAAGATCGGGTGAATTTCTGGGCGGAGAAAGTGAATACATTGTATGTATTTTTGACGTTTCGAAGGGAAGCAATAAACAAAAGACAACATTTCTTGACCAACACGTTCGTATGATTCATGAATGACATCAGTTTTTGTCGCTGGCTTGTCTCGTCGGGGCCACTTTTCTCTATTTCCTTGTCCATGTGGATCAAGTCACCGAGCTGGCCAGTGACTGCCGGAAAGATCAGCACTTGCTTGCTGTGACTCTGTCTTGTTAGTGTCTTACAGCCCATATCAGCTTTTGTCTGTGATTTGTTTGCAGCCTGAGGTCGAGCATGGCCGTCAGTGGGTAGAGTGAGGCAAGATGAATGTCTTCTCGCACTCCTCTGAGATCATCTCTTGCGTCCCAGCCTTTTGGTCGCACGAGTTCTCGGTGGTTACATGGGCGTGGGCCATGTGCGAGCGATGGTGAAACCGTCGAGAAGAATAGTGACTCCGACCCTACAATTCGCAGTACTCGGTGCCGAATAGCCTCTTCCGTGAATGTCGTGCATGCACAACATCGTACTCATAGCTATCCAAAATTTCATTGACAGGCGGTCATTCACAAGTGTTGTGTAGGTTCTGAATCTTTTGCCATGGATCTTGTGAAATTCACTCATGTGTTCACTAGGTCCTTCACCCGATCATCACGTGTAAAGTGCAAAGTCATCTCTTTTCCTCCTGACAACTATGCGCTGAAGCGAGGAGTGGGTTGGGCCGAATGTTATGGGCCCTTTGGTTTTGTGACACAACCTTATTGCAGCGAAGCAGATGTAAAAGATTTAACCTCGTATTGTTCGCGTCTTCACTTTGTTGGGAAATTTCCTCGTTGACGTCAACACTTTTTTGTAACAACTGAAGGAATTGAGAGAGTGTGCCACTCTACTGACAAAGCGCAGCGAGATTTCATCATTTGCACAACATTTGCACGCACGGTGGCGTCTCAGGAAAAATCTCTTCACTCATGGACCGGCCCGGGCGATATTTCTAACCTACATCTCTCAGGCAGACAGCGGACGATAGACTGCGAAGGATCCGTCAACGGTCTTTCCTCCAGGGGAAAAATTCGATGTAGGTCCCCCTTACAGTGATACTGTAAGTGACATGCAGATGTGTCATGATATACGTGTGGCTCTCTCTTCCCGCAAAAGCTCTTGCCATTGTCATCAATCAGCAGTAAGCCCCGCGGTCACCCATGTATCCTTTATTATCGTCTGTGTAACCGGTTCAATGATACCGAGAATAAACGAGACGAATATGCTGGACGAAATGTAATTATCGGGTCGGGAGATTGGTGTTGAAACTCAGATGAAATAGTCCTCCACTGACAGTAACCACATCATTTCTACGTGTCCCCTTTCATACAATCACCACACGTCAGACATGGATGCTGATCGAACGACGTACGTACGTAGCATTATGGGCGCAGAAAAGGCCCAAATTTGAGCAGAGTTGCCGTGAATCTGGTGACGGAGGGAAATGGTGAGGTGGATGGACGGGTGATGGTTTAGGAAAACTTTCCTGACATGTACAGACCACGTATGCATGCCTTCTCTCACTTCATGGTCGAATCTCACCCCTTGCTCTCGTCGATGGACGCAAGCAAGCGCCGTGAGCATATTCACATTCGGAACAACTCCTCCTACTCCTGCTCTCCTGCTCTCCGCGTCAATCAGAACTCTTGCCTCCCAGTCCAGATTTTGCTTCACGTTCCGCTGCGTTCGAGGAGTGGTCAGGGAGGGAAGGGAGGGAGGGAAGGGCGGGGTTCGGCGTCAGGGTCAGGGTGGCGGAACGTGAAGTCATTGCTCGACAGGCAGACAATGAATGCGTCAGAGGTGTCTCACCTGCTCGACCGAGGCGAGAGTTTGCGCAGTGCGCCCCTGCGATTGAGGGCAGCTTCAGAGCCCGACTCGTGGATCATACGGCGCCTTCTCCCAGATCAACAGTTGGCGCAGCGACGTAACTCATTTACTCGAGCATGCGACATAGAAAGCCTCCCGCTGGCCCTAGTCCATGCCCGGACTGTATCTCCCTCCCTCCCTGCCTTGCCGCACATGATACACTATGGCGGACATTCTCGACCGTATCAGATGACTACGTTTTGGCTTACCCCGAGACATGAGACATTTTCATTTACGCCTCTTGCCTCCAGCCAGCAGCGCAATGGCGTGATGCTGCTGGAGAAGAAGCATCAATCCTCTCGGCCTCGGACGCATCGTCGTCTCCACTCCACTCCACTCTCGTTGCTCTTCTCGGGTTCTGGAAACCCGTTGTGCTCGTGGATCGTGCCTCTACGGCTCGCTCGTGGAGATGAGGTCGTTACATTAGTTTGGTTGTGGAAAGGCGTTTCTCCGACGGGTCGGATGTTGGACAGTGGGTGCAGTTGTGACATTCTACGGGTCGAATGAGACTCGCTCGATTTCTGGCTGGTCCTGGAATATGAAGACCCTCCAAATCGACGCTGTGGAAAAAGCGAGCACCTTAACACCATAAAATCGGTCCGGGAAAATTGGGGAATTAATTCGCTCTGCTTCGTGTGGTTGTAGGTCATTACGGTCTGAGGAACATTCCATCTCGACGTTTGCTTGAAGCAAGCACTAGCAGTACAACACATTTTACACCGTACCATGTCATGGAACAAATCCGTCGGAAACACCTGGAAGCTTAACTAACTCTTCATCGTGAACTCGTAAGTCATTACTTTCGTTGTTTCTGAAATATCCCATTGGAGTGGATCCATGGAAATTAGAGGCTGTAAGGAGTCCCGATCGATCTTGTGGGATGTAAGAAGCTCTCGAAGAAATGCCCTCGCCATCTTGTGGATGGATAGGGTTAAACTTTTTCAACACGAGGCGATTGGACGAGCAGAAAAAGGTACATAGTGAGCTTGCCATCATGCGCATCACGTGTACATTTATGAAGATGGAGCAGGCAAGCATAGACGCCCACGAGAAGAAACGTATTCAGCAATAGGAAAAGAGAAGATTACAACAGTGAGCATTTTATTACCATTCTCGTACTCCGACGCGCAACATGTACACGATATACTACGCATCGAAACAAACAAGGAGACCAAAAGGTGGCACCAAAAGTCCAAATACTCGATGAAATCAGGTGCCCTCATGGTCACAACATCGTCATTGTTGGAGCGGCCTTTGGTTCCATCTCTTTAGCATTCAATTATCTGCAGGCATGTCTCCTCATATACACCCCAAAACAACAAATACCGAGACCGATTCTCTTCTGACATAGTGGTCCGCGACAGGATACATTAAACTCCGAGTTTTGACTCCTTTGTTTTTTTCCCAGTCGATTGCCATAAAGGACAATCGTGTGCTGAGCTCCACTACTTTCATCTTTCAAGCGTTAAAAGGGTTTCGTACCATCAACCTTCGAGCTTTAGCACCCAGTTTTCTTCCAAGCTAACAGCTTAGTAACATGTACCCCGTACCCTGCATTGCGGAGATTATATACTGTATATATGTATATATATATATATATAAACCCGATTAAGAAAATCCTTATGCTGCTAGCATAGAAAAAGTTTGGTGAGGTACTGGTTTGGTAGCTGTGAAATTGCTACGCTCCTTGTCGTGAATGTACGCTGTTTTTGTTCCTGCTATCGATCGACTTTTTCTTCCTGGTTTCATCAAGTGCTTCTTTGTGGGTGATAACATTCATGTCTCAAAGTGGTGCAATTTCTGGAGCGCGTTGAAAGGATTGTAATGTCGAATATCAAGGCATGGATATAAAGGCAACCAAAGAACGTCCAAGAAGGAAGAGCACAAAGTCGTTACCCACAAAAGAGATATTGAGATTGAGGGAGATATCTCCATATGTCCTATGGAGACATAAAAACAAGAGAAGAAAATGGAAAACTTTAACATTGTAGCCAAAGTCTTAATGCGACAAGAAATGAAGAGGGTGGGTCGGGAGAAATTTATGATGTGGAAGGAATTGGTCTTTTTGAGATTTTTGAGGCTTTGGTTGCATGAATTTGTCAATTTTATGATTGCTTCATGATGCGACTATGGTTGGTTGGTTGTTGTTGGATACACATGTCCGCAATATGTGTTCGGGCTTTTCACTCGGAGCCTCAGCGGGTGGGACAGAAATGGACGTCCTCTCTTATACGCAGGGCAAGACACAGAACTGGGACGGCAGAAATATCAAGCAAGCGATTCCGATTCCGACCTCAGCTTGTGTTGACTAAATCCGAGGTGAAGATTGGGTGTTCATATTTGGTCACTCGCTTTCTGATCCTCTTCCGTGGGCTGTACCTGGACGCTCAGACGAAGATGAATGCTGCTCACTGAGTCCTTAGAGCAAAGGCACAACTCTCTCATCAGCTTAAGGTTAGCACATAGGGCCTGCGACGCTTCAAGTCAGCAAGTCTATCGTGACAAGATCACGATAGACATGTCACCACAACTCCCCTCGCATTAAGTCCTCACATCACTTCATCATCATCGAAGCAACTTAAAGACGGGAGGTAGAGCGCGACAAGCGCTCATGTCTCCATTCGCATGTCGTACTTTGTATGTCACGAACAAGAATATTAACAGGCTTTCGAGGACTGTAAAATTTTGGCCATTGGTGCAAGCGTTGACTTCAGCATTTTGTTGACAAAGCTTCCATATTTCCCTCCGCCCAGAAAAATGAACAAGCCATTACATGGATGAGGAAAACCCTGATGATATAAGAGAAGAGCGACCACCAGGTACACAACTTTCGTAGTGCATATGAGTCTCCATATTTGCCTCTTCTGAAAAGCTGAAACGAGACCAAATTGAAAATGGCCGAGAACGAAATCCAACTCCTCGACAAGTAGTGTGCCACGTTCACAAGAATCATTAGGCCAACAAAGGTCATGATGCGGCAGTCAAAAGGAGACACAAGAATCAATAGGGCAACAAAGGTCATAATGCGGCAGTCAAAGGAAGACACAAGTCTCCTCCTCCGTGTCCGACTCGCACTCAGTGGTTGGAACTTGGAACTTGGATCTCAAAGCCCATGCATGCATGCAGCAGCAGCAGCTACTGCCCGACGATCCTCACAAACACAATCCAGGTCATGAGCCAAGCGGAACAACCCAACGAGTGGAAGGAGAGGAAAAATTAATGTTTCGTCCACGAGCTAATCACCACCCAGCACGAAGACTTTCTGTCGTGCAGCTCGTGTTACACTACAGTTGTGAGCGTTTAATTCCTTCGCTCGATGTTGGGATCGATGATCAGACGAAGAGTTGAGTTGACCTTTGTTTTCTGTAGTACTACTCAATGGCTTCCCTCCCGCCTTTCAGACAAAAGCGTCTGGCGATGGTCGCACATTTCAGTTCCTAGGGTTCGCCGGATGCTCCTCCTGAACGGGAGCGGGAACGGGGAGAAGAAGCATTTGGAAAGTTGACCTGGAGTGATGAGAACCTTTGAAATTAGGTCTTGCTAAGCGCAAGGACAGTTCCTCGTGGCCTGCAGCCTCCAAGGTGTAGTAGCGCGGAAAGCCACAATCGGTCAAGTGCATAGAAGAGAATGCATATAATTGTTACAATACAAGCAAGAGATTCGGCCGACGCTAAGGCTTGACAATGCGGCCTTCGTTGATGCTGTTGCTGTCAGCTGCGAATGCTTCTCTCGTGCAGCCTCGCACCGACATCGCCAACGGGGAGTTCGTGAGGTCGTTCACCGATTGAGTGGCCGTGTTAAGGAACCGTTGTGTAACTGTCGAGAGCAAACCATTCTCAGCAAGTGCGGCGGTTGAAGAAATCAAACATCAAAAGTCCTCGCGAGAGATTGTATGCACCTTAAAAAATGAGCAGAAATTTTGAACCGCCATTTCTCCCACCGAGCAAGTCGGCATCGAAGGGGTCAACTGATATATTTCAGTTCGAGATATCTTTTTTGGAGGTGACAAAAATCTATAAGTTTTCTCGTGTTTCAAGGAGTGGTCAAGTCTTTTGTCTTCAACGACCTTGGTACCTGCGAAGCGGCGTCGAAGTCTACAGGGCTGCAGATCTTTTGGATCTTGATTGGCCAGGAACAAAATGTCAATCTGCAGCTGACTGGAAGAAGTGGGAAGTTGGAGAACCGAGACACTGATAGGACTTCCAAGTCCACACTCTTTCTTTGCTGCCACTACTGGACGCCGTGGATATCTGGAACTCAAGCCGAAATATGCTTTACAATTTTTGCGTTGTTTATCTGATTAACTCGGTGAACACTTGGACAGGTCCTAGTTTCAGACTAATTGGACGCATGCTATTACCACTTGCTGTGATCATCCAGTCTTTACTGGTGTTGTGCTTTGGTGGTCTGGGTGACATGAGCCTGGAGCAACTCATACATAGTGAGCCACACTACAAACATGAGAATGTTGTGCTGGCTGACGAACGGTGAATTGCTAATTATTCGTGCCTTCATCGGAGCTGTGTACCTGATCTCATAACTCTACTACGATTTAACCCATGAAGTGTAGGATTTTACTCAAGGAGATTGCTAATAAACTGAGTAGCAAAGTTGTTAGAATTCAGTGTTTCACATGTGCAGACCTTTTGCAAATAGAAAGCTATAAATATATACGAACTATTTCTACTTGCAGAAAGGTTTTTATGAATGCTTACAATGAAAGGTTCCTCCGTTAAAATTCAATTTGGAAGTACTAAGACTGTACGAAGGTTTTTGGTGACTGAAACCCGCTGTACAAGTCGTCAACCTGAGGCTCAGGTGAGGTCAGGTTTAGTCTGGTAGGTTAGGTCAAGTGATGTTTCTCCCACCTACCAGACTAAAATAAGGGAACGGATGCAGTTTTGATCTGGTCCTTGACCTACTTTGACCGAAGCTACCCTGGTCAGGATAACCTCAACCAGAGAAGTACATACCACCAAGCTACACGTATGAGTACGTACTGAGCTTTAGACAAGTACCGTACTTCCCTAAGCTTGCAACTATGTTAAGTGTTGCAGGCACCTTAGGGTTGGCTTTTGGGGTGTCTGACCAGTACAGAACAGCCAATCTATTGGTATGGAGTAGTACTCTATTCATTTATTTATTTGGGCAGCAGTCCCTCGCCTGCCCAGTCTGCCCCTCCCTGCCGTGCCATTCTCTGTTCTGCCCATTTGGGAGGTGCATCTGGGGGAGGCGAGGTTGTGAAATGTAGCAAAAGTAAATTCGAGAGTCTCCAGGAGGAAAAGTGGATTAGCTTTTTGCTCTCAATCTCTATCCACTCGAAAACTAGGAAAAACTGGACCCTCAAGAATGAGACAGCGATGTATACCTGCAACGTGCAGAGTGAGCTAG